TCTAAAGACAGATTATTTTATGAAATTCAAAGGAAATAATCTCATTCCTTGAAACTAAAGATTTCAAAGACAAAATAAAAGCCAGTTAAATGTTCAATGTACTTCTAATTGTTTATAGTCTTTGATGATTAGATCGATCTTCATCAATTGCATGTACCCCAACACGATGTAGAGATGAAACTCAAGTGAAGAACAATGCTCAGAAATGCTTTCATCAAAAAGGCTTGATCGTTTCATGTGTAGATATTCCTGGCATACTTCAGATGTTCAGTAGTGAATATTGACATTCTTTAAAATGATAGAAAATGGCGCCAATTACCAAATAAACAATATTCAAATAATCAGAGACAAGAAACAATTTAGTATTGTGCAATGTATTGAAGTACTTATTATTCTGATCATCCAGTTTTAGTTTAGATCAATTACAGTTATAAGGATTCATGTTTACACAACTATAAATCAAAAACTTAAGAATTAATAAATAATGTTTCAGTTGTAAGTCAAATCTGTTTATTTGATTTGGCATACAATACTTACCATATTGTAATTTATTGTATGAAATTTCAAGATGATCATGCAACATTTTGTTTTTTTTTATAGTTAAATATTTGTAAAACTTCTCACTCTTTGATTTCAAAGGTAGGATAACTTGCAGTACATCCGTTGTTGGAGTTTAATCATTTCGACTGTGTGTTGAATATCGATTCAGTCAATAATTGTCCAGTGACCAACTTCTCCCATCATTTAACTGTTTTTAACCCATGAACTAGTACTGTACGCCTTTCTGTTTTGTAATCGTGTTTAAGTGGATGTACAACAATGGCTGAGATTTTATCGAAATTACTTAGTTTGATGAGGTCTGTTGTGTGAAGTTTATTTAATTTCCTACACTTTTACACAACCTAATTGATTCCGATCAGCTTGTTTGACATATGTAGTTCACCTCAGAGTTATGCCAAATTTTTTGGTCCTATTAGATCAGTGGGATATGAAGGCTGATTAAGTCAATCTCTAAGCAGATTTTAAGGTTTGAATACCACTTCGATTCCAGCTTCCTTAGGAATTCTACATGGAGGTTTTTAATTTGCCTTCTATATAGATACATTGAGTTGTATTTAAATTGCCTTGCAATGGCTATTCACACTGATACTTTTCATTTACTTGTGACTTCCTACAAACTTTTGAATAAATTACTGGGCACGTTTTTTGATCAATGGGGTTCCGCTGATGGCTTTTTACTTAAATTCCTGGCTAAGTTACTTTAGCTTTTGATAAAAATCTGGCATTACTGATGTGAGGAAAAATAAATGTAAGTCTACATATTTATTAGAATTCACTTTGGAGGGTTGTGGGGATGGATTTCAAGTTGATATTCACTACAGAATCGTTGAAAACCTTAGAGCACTATACAGCTCTTTCTTCCTAGCAGCAAACATGCATGGCTTTGCTGGAGACCGTGACCATGGCCTTCAGACTTCACATAGACCACATTACTACTCAGTCAGTGGGCTGAGATCCAGCATTTCAAATATTCCTACTTCTGTCAATCAGTTACATTATGCTACCGATTTCAGTTGTCACACGGTTTCCAACCAAGAGGTCTTCATTTCTCTACACAACTCTATCCAATAACCAGAGATATCATGAACTGATGCCAAATATTGTTTTGTGCGTCTCTAAACCATGTCTTGCCTAAACCTAATTTAGATACCACCACTGATGAGCATAGTTGGCAACTACGAATGCGTAACAAACATCCAACTCATCTGGGCTGATGAAGGTTTGCATTCTGATCGATAGACTTATATCCCTTAAAGTTTTATGACACATTCATTTCTTTAAAAGCGACAGTGGTCAAACACACGGAGCCTTCACACATTTTCCACTTTTAATGGCCATCTTTTACAACCATATAGTTACATAACATGAAATGTTGCGTAGTGTACTTAACGATTACTAGACTGTCGGATATTTTGTTGTTATTATAAGTGGGGAATTAAACAAGCCTCTTTTTGTCCATGCACTGAGTCACCAGGGCTAATCCAACCCCCCCTAAGTGAATGAAGAGATCAACGCGCTTGACCGCTTTATTCCCTGTTGTTAGACTAAATATTGACAAAATACAGTCTTCAAGCGGAAATCTGAACTTGTCTGGTTTGAAATACACCCCAAACTTTTTCAAATTTGTCACTAGGTGTCTAAAATATCAGCGTCATGTCAACATCTTAACCCAACAGGACTATGCTGTCTGCGAACTCTAGGTCAACTAAAGTGTCTTCTGTGACAGTGCCAAGTTTTGCAAAGTCAAACAACAAAAGGGAAAATCTCCAAGAGTGTATCTATGATGCAGTTGAATAAGAACAGTGTGAGTTAACATCCTTGATGGACACCACTTGATCCACGCAACCCAAATGATAACTCACTAGAAGATCTAACATGCTGTTGGGTGTTCTTGTATAAAACCTTCAAAAAAGCTATGTACTTATCTGGCACCCTCTTTCAGTAAGACAGTGACCTCTTGATGCATAGGGTCGAGTGTTGCGTTCAAGTTGATAAATAAACCTGGAGTCGGGAGCCGTTAATTGTGCCTGTGGTTTTCCGTCCACAATGACATTTGAACCCACGTTTCGTCTGCTTTTCGTTTTGCAATTTTACGGAGTAGGTTATCCTGAATCATTTTATAACACGAAAGTGATGTAAATTGTACTTATCGCTGAGTTTATATATGTGAAACGCTTATGAGTAGGCTCTGATTTGTGTGTCATTTGTATATCTCCCAAATGCCTTACAAATGAGACTAAATTACCTCGGAACGGAACGTTCCTGAACGTATATATATATACATTCTATTTTCTGTGAAAAATAGGGTCAGGATCTTAGCTCTTAGTGTCGAATAAGTTAGTCACTGAGTAGATAGTTCAGAATGAAGAAACTGCATATTTCTCGAAAACGCGTTTGAAGATGACTTCATTGATGGTGGCACTTTTCGCCTTATCTGGGCCTCATCAGCAGGACATATCTCCGTTGCAGTGAGCGATATTGCTTCCACCAGGATTCGAGCCCCGAACTTGTTGCTTCAGACCCCAGGGCGTTATCTATCGTGAGACTGAGTAGCAATAGACACTTTATGTACTACAAGTATGCTAAAGTTTTAGTGTTGTAGCTTGTGAATCTACGCTGTTGAGTGGGCCGAAATGATGGGCTACTATTAGCATATGGACTGGTATGTAAATGTCTGTATTTTCGATTTTGATATTATTGACAGATACAGTTTAGCAGTGTGATCCAGGAAGTACGTCTTAATGGGAACAATACCGCTTACTGGAATGAGAGTACTTTCGGCTGACGAATCTTAAACAGGGTGGAATGCGTATTCTGTATTCCATTCCTGGCCACTATCCATCATCAATATTAAAACTGGGAACGCCGGCAGTACCGAGACATTTCCATATCAGCCTCATTTGCCAATAATGGTCGAATAATTTTGTCCAGTCAACTACGTAGATTCACAAGTTATAACATCGATAAACGAATATTTCTCCGAAATCCGTTTTTGCTCACGACACTGAGTTGTCAGCTTGAGTTCTTTTTATCCAGAAAGAGTTCTGACACAGGAGAGGAAAGTTTTGAAATAGTTTGCAGTGTTACATTTCAGCTTATCAAAGAAATCGCTCTACAATGACCAGTTACTACAAATTCTCTAAAAAATATCAGTTACTGATAGCGTCTTCTGAGTCTTTCTTTCATCAGATCAGCACCAGATACATGCTAGAGAAATGACCTAGCACCTGTCTCAGGTAAGTGGAAAGTTCTACTACCTGTTCCACATAGAAAAGAAGCGAATCAGAACTACATAAACTATTTCTCAAAGTTGTAGAGTTACCTTGGTATGGTTATGGATAATAAATTGTGTCCAAAACATATTTCAGTAAGTGATACTTTCCACTGTGTAATTTATCGTATTAATCAAGTCATCTCACTTCACAGATAGGGAAATCCAACAGCCACTAGTATAAATAATGCATCTACCCACAATCTCACCGAATGAGGAATCCGTAATGGGAACAAAACAACTGTTCACTGCACTCTATTCACCTAATTGATATCGGTACACAATGACAAGTGAATCAAACCATTTGATCGTCACCAAACGTGCTAGGTGAATATCAGCTAGGATGTCATTTCCTGTTGTATGGATACAGGTTAGCTGAAAAACACATTGAAACTTATCCCAGCCACTGCCCGAATTTCCTTTTTGATATAAGGATTTTTTATCGCAATGTTTTAGTCCACCGTATTTATATATCACTAGCACGAGAATGGACTTATAACACACACATTTCGCATAAGTAAACACAATGGCTAACTCAACTTAGTTTATATATCTAGGGATATCTGGTGATGATCCTTCCAGAGGTTCACCTACGGAAATCTTATTACAACTTTTACTTCCTCTCAATAGTCATATCAGGTCGTTTTCTCAGCATCAGTCGAGCGGCAAGCCACTTCAGAGACACCAATCCAACAACTTCTCTAAACCATCCAATCGACATTAGCGACAGTTGGTGTGTAACATCAGCTGAAAATGGATGACAAAAACACCAATAAGATATTTCAGCGCAAATACAATTAGTTAATCCATATTAAGCAGATATAGTGAACACTGAAATGAAAGCTAAAAGAAAAAGAATTATGATGTCGGAAATTATAAGATTTTTCTAACTATTAATTATTTAGTGTTTCGCCGCAGGTGTACAATTGCCTTTTTTTTTTCAAAAGTAAATGTTAATTCTCGCCAGTCATTGAGTTATTCACTTTTAATTATTTCTAATGTAATTCAATAAAAAAGTATATTCTTCTATAAGTTACTGTGAAGACTGGTTAAAAACCGCTTTACTTTCTAAAATGACACATTTAAACAAATGAAATATTGAACAAATTATTTATAGATATTATTTTAAATAAGTAAGAAAAAGCAATACTTATATTCATTAACTCACCTAATTGGATTAATATTACATAGGATTATTGTAGCATTTTGTTGATTCCCTATATTATTACTTATCAAATTATTCTTATCATAATCATTATTGTTAATTTTCAATTTGTTTAAATTGGATATTTGAAAATAATCAGTTAATCCACTGACTTTATGATCAATTAATAAATTATAACTTTTTAACCATTCAGATGTTCGATAGACAAGTAAAATGATACAAAGAATAAAGGTGAATAAATGAAATATCCTGAAACAAAGCATGAAAAGAAAAGAGGAGACAATAAGAGATGTAAAACAAAATGTCAGTTGAAACAAATTATCTTTGTTTTATATTCATTAGGAAAAATGCAAATATCGAACTAATGATTATCATTTACCTAAATAGCAAAAATGTTTTTTTTTAAATGGAGATGTCTCTTCTCATATTCGACTTGGTTAGCTTCACTGGTCACAACTTCTCATTAGAAATTTAGGAATCACCTCGTGAAGCTAGTCACCAATAAGCTCCAGATTAATTAAATCAGCAGGATCGTGGAGATTAATTTACCATCAACTGACATCAAGCAGAGGAACATTGGATCCCTGGTGCACTGTTGAAGAGTCCTGTATTGGAATACAATAACTGTTGAGTGCTCCCACGTTTCAGTGTTTATCCAACTGATGTCAGTCCATGGTGAATACCAACCTAAAATCACAAGCCTCAAAACTATATTCATGTTTTATTTATTCATTTTAATCCTATAAAAGATTTCTCATGACCTTCTACTCACCCATTAGCGATTGATGGACATATACTTTTGTTGTAACTGTAACGACTAGGAGGAAACCAGTGCCCTGGATTTCTATTCTAGCCACAACAAAGTAAATAAAATTAATTAACATTTAGGTAATATCGATGCTTCCGCATATGAGCCCATATACCATTAGAGGTCTCAAAATTCGATCCAGTATAATAACAGAATTACAAGCATATCAATAAATAGTATTAACGAATACCTTTGTGAAAGAACTGGCATGGAATCATGCTCCTATCTACCCAATGCAAGTAAAATATTAAGCCGCATCATCCTGAAGAGAATAAAGGATGCGCTGGATTCAAAACTACGAAAGGATTCAGGAAGTACAAATCATGTGTGGACCAAATTGCAACGCTACGCATCATCACATAACAGAGTATAGAATGGTAGTCAACTGGATATTTACCTCAACGTCACCGACTTTGAAAAGGCCTTCGACAGTGTCGACCGAGAAGTAGTTTGGCAACAGCTCCAACACTATAGAATACCACTAACCTTTATCAACCTTATTCAACCGCTATATGCTATATGATGATGCTACATGCCAAATGATTCACAATGGAAAGGTCAGTGATTTCTTTGAAGTTAAGACAACGCTATCTACTATCATCCATGATCTTCCTAATTGTGGTCGACTGGATCATGCAACAAACTATGGGGAGCAAGAATAGAGGTATACGCTGGCTGAGTCAATGAAAAGACCGCAGAAGAAGATTTGAATTTCGGTGACGATTGTGTCTAGTGTCACACAAACTTGAAGATCTACAGGTAAAAGCTAAAAACTTGATAGAAGAGGCAGGGCAGCGAAGATGCGACCTCCTTCAGGTGAACTTAGAGAAGACACAGGTGATGATGATACCCAACCACCACCAACAACAACAATAGCAAGCTCCAATCACCATCAATGGGAGAAACTTAAAGGAAGTAACCTCTTTCACATATCTAGCAGCATCTTTCCAACTACAGGCAGCACAAGCACAGACGAGAACGTCAAAGCCAGGATCAGAAAGACAGCGAGATAGGCTTTCATTAACCTGAAACCAGTGTGGAGATCTTCTGCACTCAGCACAAAGAACAAGATCCGGATTTTCAACACCAGTTCAGTCAAGTCAGTGCTCCTGCATGGTTCAGAAACTTGACGCGTTACGAAAGGGATTTCCAACAAACTACAGACATTCATTCACAACTGCCTACGCTCGATACTGAAGCCCAGATGGCCATAAAGAACAAGCAACAAGGAACTCTGGGAACGAACCAACCAAGAACCTATCACTCAACAAATATGCAGGAGGATGTGGAGATGGATTGAGCATACACTGAGAAGGCCGATTGGGGACATCATGCACCAGGCCAGTTCAGGCCCTCTAATGAAATCCAAAAGAGAAGTGACGAGTTAGGTGTCCCAGCTGAGGGTGATATGGAGGAGATGGTGTGAGGAAGAAGTGAGAGCTTCTGGGAGTCGTAGAGTCCGGTTCAAAAGTTTACAGAGAACACAGTGGAGTGGAGACGTGCTACTGAAGCCTTATGTTCCACTAGGAACCCAAGGGACAAATAATATAATGGTATAATACCCGTTGTATAAGATGTAGCTTTCGTGCCCCCGTGACACCACCTTTTAGCGATGGGTACGTTGTTTGATTCTAAGTTGGAACAACATCGCTCCTCACTGGGGTGCATATACATCCATCTGACGAGTCTCGAATAGAACGAAACGCGCATTCTGGATTCATCTGCTACTCACAACCAAGTACATGATTACGGTTGTATAGCTTTTGGAAAATTCACTGTGAGAAAGGAAATTATCTTCACTGAATTGTCTTTTGTTAATTTCTTCCATGATCATATAAGATTTTTGTTTGTTGAATATTTCGCATTTATTAAACTTCTGCTCAAACAACCGTACACAGCGAATTTAAGTGGTACGTGTTACTACACTACACATATCGTATTCTTAACCAATTATGTTTTGTACTAACCGAATAGTCGGAAGAAAACTGCATTTACACCCCTACCTTCATAAATTTCAGTAGGTCATAGTAGATGATTACTATAGATATGATCAATTTGTAGTATAATTTCATGTATCTCATAATTTCTTTACAAACTGTTACCTTCAAGTACGGTTTGATCCAAACTAATGAGTCACAGTTTTCTATGAGGTGTGTATCTATATGATTTGACTTCACAGAGACTGACCTACTCCACGGAGGTCTTGGAATATGCAGACGATATTGTCCTGCTAGATGAAGACGCTGACTAAATGTAAGATCATCTGAACGCCTTCAGCAGAAATCTTTGTAATGCGCATCATATCTGTCAAATGTAAGATGATGCTCCAGAACTGATCTGCTGCAAGTATTCCCAGATTAGTAATACAGACTCAAGTGGTGGAATGTGTCAACCACTTCCCTTAATTGGGAAGACGCATCAGTCCAAACATTTTGGTTGCTGACAAAATCTCAGCTTGGATACAAAAAGCTTGTTTGACAGTTGCGAACTTACGTCACCTGTAGCGTAAGCGAGATATCCAGCTGTCTGTCAGAGGAAGAGGATATTGAGCTACAGTCCGTCGTATGACTGTGAGATGTGGTCGTTAAAGGCAGAAGCGGTTGCAGGGTTTCAATCACATATGTCTTCAAGCATTATTGGTGTTTAGAGGAATCACTGTGGAGCAATATTGAGGTCAGGTGAAAGGTACCAGACAATGCAGACAAGTAGATTAACGAGGTTGTGAACCTCAGTCGACTGAGATGGCTTGGATATGTGCTGCGCTTGCCAAACCACCGCCTACTTCAACTTACAATGCCAGGAGAAGTTGGATTAGGTTGTAAAAAGGTTCAGGGTGACCAGAGCAAGACCCGGAACCAACAGAGCAAGTCCATGATTGTCAGTCTGAGCCAAGTAGGAAGGTATAGTCTGCTTGGGTGTAGTCCCCGAGACGAAAGGAACTAGTGGTTGAGGACACTTGATGGTATGGCTGAAAGTCGGTCGTAAAGGCACATTCTCTAAGGCTTGAATATTTACGCCAACTGTTATCTTCCAATAGTTTATACTATCAGACAACTTTGCCTGCTTTGATATTAGTCTTTTTCTCTTCACCTGTTCTTTGTATACCATTGAGAAGTGTGGCAACTTAGGCTGATGCACTGATGTACGAGGCTGTACCTTGCTTTTATCAGTCGGCATTACGTAAAGCTACCTTAAGGAGACTGAAGTCCTCTCTGAGATCCGATACCCAGTCGCCTAGCGTTGCATTCAGTGACTTTACCGCTGAGCTTTTCGTGCTGCAGCTGAGTCTCTGCAGGACTAGATTCGATCACTGGAGTTCATGTCATCGAGTTCACTGGCCATCTAATATAACTTATCCAGTCCTAACGGAGGTCAGTCGTGGCCTGAATGCGTCATTGATAATATCGCTGTCTGCAGCACTGGGTTATGAGGGTTCAAGTTTGAAGATACTGCTTGCTGACGAGTACCAGCAAGCATGAAGTCGAGTAAAAGAGCTTCTTGTTGACTGGTTCCAACCATCTGACATCGATCAAACTCATTCATGATACTCAATCTCCTAGCCCAATGGTGACATTTCAAGACGATTAATAGAATTATTTCAGTACTCATAACCAGAAAACATGGAACTGGTTGCTCTGCAGTAACCAATCAGTAAATCACATGTTTACTTCCAAACCTCCACAATGATTTGTATTACATCACAGGGATGTTATAATGGACGCAGACAAAAAAGCAAGAGCAAAAGTCAAACGAGAGCAGATGTCTAATCTTGCTTTAAGTTCAATTGGTAACTCATAGTCATGGGTAAGGATTATGTAAGGTACGTGATGTTCAGATAGTGAGGTGTGCAAAAAGTCAACATCACACGATATTGTCGGAGCTATACACCTTTCAGTCATCAGTTTCAGCATGTAGTAAAAAGTATTAGTTTACTTTCTTTTGAGAACAATTTAACAACCACTGTCTCTTGTTCGTATTATCGAAACAAAACTTGTTGTACAAGGCATGGCTATCATGCCTCAGTAGCTTAGTGAATTTCAGTCTAGTATTTAAAGTAGTCGTTGCCGCGTTGAAGTCTTGTCACTGGCACTATCACTCACTGGATTGTAGGTACATCAACTGACAAGTCGCACGTAGGATGAAATGTGCATCCTGGATTCCACCGACAGACATTATTCACTAATGAATTCTCTCTTCAGTTTAAGAATTAAGTTGGCTCAATGAAAGCTTCGACGAAATAGGAAACACTTTAAATGAGTGCTTAAAATGGTTTAGATGAGTCAGTTTAGTCGCTTATCTCCATTAAATGATAAACTGTTTCACAGTTCTGAAAGTAACTGATTTCCTAACAAATACATTTCTGGATATGTTCCGAAATGCTGGGTAGATACTTGCCTTTATAGGCATATGTGAGTCGAAATGAAGTTGGGTTAAACAAAGT